ATTCTTTTTATTGCTTCAGTCTTGTCATGCATTAGGACGTTGATCGTATTTTCAAAGTATGATTTTAGCACCAATAACTTGCAAAAAATGTGACAAATCTAATGTTCCCGTGTGTTTGCACTTTGGACAAGTACTCGGGCCACATAATGTTATATAAGTTCGTATTTAATCAAGATCTGCATATATTCGTAAAGGTAATTCTCGATAAAACTTGTCATTAGTTAGTGAGTAAGATTGAAATAGTTTATCCATTTAGTTTGGAATGTTGTACCTTGAGAGTGAAACCGTGTTGGCCACTGAGCTGTCGAGCGTCGGTATTGTATTAGATGTACTGTGGACGACACGACACTCTGCCCGTCTACGCTTACGCTGACTTGACTATGGAGTGTGTGTACATTGTATAACGTCACCACTTTATCTTTAGCACAAAATTGTTTATATATTTAGGACTACCATGTGTTAGCCGTGTTTATTGCTTTATTTGTTGTTTTATTTTCAGAATTTTCTTCTTATATTTTCAAATATTGTAATTTCATATTATCTGTTGTACAAGTTCATACAATGATGTATGGTATTGCTTTCGTTGTTACTGAACGTATTTAATGGTTAAGGTATTTTTTTCAAGATTCGTCCTAGTTATTTTAAGTTTAATCTCAGTTATTATCGTAAGTGCATTATTTACACTGTGATAGAAGTGTAATAGGAATAGATCTGAGCGAAGTCTTGACATGAATGTTACTTAGGAAGGTACGTAGTAGTGAGCGCGTACAGTGCGGCTCGTCAGTCGCCAGTACTATGCGCGTATATTGTAAGGTTTGATCGCCATGTCTTGTCTTGTGAGTGATAGGGAGGATAGTATCTTATTGAAGACTGCAATTTTTCACGTCTTAGCTGATGTTGCCTGTGGATGTATAAAATTAGAATCAGTAGGTTATGATGAGGCGCCTACTGTACACTGAGATACTCGTCGTCTCGTACAAAACGGAATTTTTATTGATAAGGTTTTAATAGGCGTAAATTATTATTCGTAGTTAGATCGCGTTGTATCTTACCTATTATGTTATTGTGTTTACGTGTCTCAGTGTACAGTAGAGTAAATAGAGAGGTCGAAGGAGCTTAGCTGAAGTTGACTTTGATCGAACTGTATCACTGATAGGAGTCACTATTTACTTCCATAACATCATCATGTGAAATAATGGACTACATAAGTTTAATGATTAGTGCAATAATTAGGCAAAGCCTACTTTAAATTTAAAGTTTTGTATCTTAGTACTGTAATTCTAAATTATGACATGAAGTTATCATGTTCGCATCACAACGGAGGTGTTTGTGAGGTTGTATAGCGTAAGTACTTGATACTGACATGGTCTCGGTTCATTGGATTGTTGTACGCATCACAATGTATTTGATTATTGTCAAATAACATTAATTGTAAGCAGCTTTTTGTAGGTAAGGGCGTTGTACACTTATGTTGTATTTCATATTCGTATTAGCTGTTTATAATGAGAACTGTACTCGGCAAACTAGCTACTTTACATTACAACTATCGTTCGGTACGTTATCCAAATATTAGACGAGGCTACTACGTTTTCATCGACAACTAACAATAACTTAGTATTATTAAGTTGACCGTCAAAATCTTACTCTTGATAAAGTATTATAAACTTCCAAAAGAATCTCTCTCTGTATTAGAATTATAAGCTTTCTAGTCAAAAATGGATTTCATATTGCATTTTTATTGATATAATTGGAACTTTCTTAAGGTATTGGAAATTATTACTTTCTTTGTGACTTATTTGGTTTAAATGTTCGCTCTGTCATTGCAGCGGGTTATTGTATTATGACCGTAATACTTTGATGATCTCACAACATGGACATTGGACATAGCTTACACACACACATCACAACATTGCATTGCAACATTTTGCCTGGAGGACCGCGAGCTTGCTGCAGTGACAGAGTCTGTTATTGGATTTTTTCATACTTGTTCTTTCTCCTAGTGATGGCTCATTCATACGTAATAACATAGTTTTTGTATTGTATTGTAGACTTTACGGACACATTATTATCATCTTCATTCTAATCTTCATCGGAAAAGCATTTATTTGGTAATACATACCAGTAATTTTCATAACAGCGAATAACGTTTGGCATCTGAATTCTGTGATAAATTTTTTATTCAATCAAAATGTAATTTTGACATTATAATGCAATACCAATCGGAAAATTAGTTACTATTATACATTGTATACATAGATTATGTTTCGGATTTGTTTAGGTTTATTGTTCGGCTGGTGGTTGCTCGGCATAGACTGATTCAACTACAACTTGACACGCGGCGGTGTCTACAACTACCCCCTAGTATTATTTCACCGATTACAAGTCAATTCGGTTAAAGCAATCATCAGCTGTATTTATGTTATATCAAAATTGGCCTTGCCATGTAATTTATTATTTGTATTTGAAGATTATTTTATAATGTAAAGGTGGTAATATAGAAATGAAAAGCAGTGCTTAGAAATAAATTAATAATGATTAATGTTTTATTTTTATTTATATCCACCAGTTTGTCCTTTTGCATGCTTAATGTTTTATACTTACATACGACTTGAGTTTTACGTGGGGAGTCGGGAATGTTCATGAAGGTACCCTAATTTTTCTACGCAGTCAGTAAATAAAACGACAAATGGATAGGAGATAAATTATATTATTTTAAACATTTAATATTACATCAATTATAATGTGGACAAGTAGGTAAAAGTAACCAAATGATGCAGTGGAATGATTAGACAGATGATAACGGACATAGCCACGACAATACTAAAGTTAAGATACTATATGGTAATTTGAAACATTGAACATTGTGAAATGGATGAATATAAAATATAAACTATACGTGTGGAATGTTTTATGATATAAACACACATTTGGCACAATTTTAACCCTTTAACCGCCAAGATTCTGAACTTTCAACTTACCTCCAGCGCCACGTCACTTTAGGTATAAGTTGGAACAGTGTTGGGAACACTTAATATCGATGCATATATTCTTTATTAATTAACCTTCAAGCGGGCGCGCGTAGTCGAATCGACCGCGGTTAATACATTTTCGTTCATATTTTTATTTTTAGTTGCCACATGCATTTCTAATTTCTAGTAGCCTGTCACTATCTTTTTAGGAGTAAAATAAAAACTATTTCGTTGCTTGAAGCGCTCTCTATACTCCACAAATCACAATTGTTTAGGCTCTGGCGCAGTCGTTGAAAAGACTACACGCGCCTGTCGTCGAATAGGTTACGCGCGACGCCCAACGCGACATACACATGTCAATATTAACTAATTCAGCTTGGAGTTTTGGTGTTTTAAAGCATTTTTTGTTTAAATAAGTCGTTTATGGTTATCGCAAAGTACAGTAATCGAGGAATTACAAAGAGAAGACGAAGAAGAGAGTGAATCAGAGCTTAGCAACCAAGGCTCTGAAACTTCTCATCACATAGTTTTAGAAGAACATCTATCTGATGTGATATCATCCTTGTCGGATTTAGATGAGAATAATTTGTAGCTTTCGGAAATAAATAGCTGTTTTACAGGACGCGATAAAGTAACGCAGTAGCAAAATCTGAAAAATTACTAGAATACTGACTCAGACGAAAATAAAATCAAAATTAATGAGTTTTTAGAGTTTTATCCTTACTTTTTATTTATTTTTTGGTCTACGTATATAAACCAACCTAACATATGTAAACGGGTCTTAAT